ACTCTGAAAAAAAGTGGTCCACATTTCAAAGGCTTCATGCCAGGCAAGAGAATGTGTTTCTGGAATTGGTCGCATCCCTGAAAACCAGTGACACTCTTATGTTACCAAAGGCTAATTTATTCAGCCTAATTTAAGTCTGAGTTGTTTTTGTGAAACATACATGTAGAGAGAGGGATTATGAACTGCAGCTTTGAGATGATAAAAATGTACCCCTAAGGCGTGAATCTCAAGAACAAAATCATCTCTAGACAGGGCTCCTGCAGTCAGTTCCCTCGGGTGGTGAGCAGTTGCTGAAACGATCGCGGATCACGCACCACTGCCCCTCAGGGCGGGCCCAGGATCAAAGCCGCCCCTGGCTCCGTGCTCCCCCTTCCCACCACGGATCCCGCAGGTCTGCAGTGATGTGTCAAACCTCAGGTGTTCAGTGGACCTCTGGTCTCTCGTAGATGAAGGTTTGAACTGGCTGATATGGGAGCAGTTACTTATTTTTTAACAAGAAGAAAAATATCTTTGCAAGGTGGCGATCTGAACTGTGGTAAAAACTGCACATTTCGGTAGCAAGAAATCATATTTTAGAATGCTAACCACAGTCATTCCTTCTGAAGCAATAAAGGAAGACAGTGCCTTCCTGGTCTGGGGTGGACCTGCATGTTCTTTTTACTGCCACAGAAAAGGGCAATTACAGTGGCCCTTCCTCGAAATGTTTCCAGCTCTTGAGCACTAATCGTCACTGTCTAGACAGAGCTGGCGTTTTTGGTAAGGGTTTAAAGAAAGTGGCTGTTTCCAGACTCCCTCAAACCACCTAAATGGCCAGCTCTCACCCCATGGAGTGCTGGCCGACACTGTGATGCTGAGGACTGGGCTTTTCAGTGTGATCCACAATTCGTATGGTACATATAAAAATTCTGCCCCTTTGATGTTGCCTCAGATATTTTTTTCTTTCGAGCTCAACCAAGTCATTACTAGTTTTACAAAAAGGCAGCACCAGATGTATGAAAAATAGGCAATGTCTGACCTATTAGAAATATATAAAGTCTGACAGCTTTACATTAAAAAGATGTCATAAGAAAGAAGTGATGCACAGGGACAGCAGTGGCAGAACAAAAAGTGTTGCTTATAACGCTGGCCGGAGACAAAGCCACACACACTCTGCTCTGGTCCCCAACAGAAGCTGTGTGGTGGGCTTTCCGAGGGACTCCTGGGGCCTCACGTGAAGACCCCTGGACCGTGAACACCCTTGCTGATCAGTGGCCAGGTGGCAGGTGACTGAGGTATATAGAGAGGTGACAGAGCAATGTGGACCCTGCGTGAAGCCCAGGACAGCCCGGAAAGACATTCTCAATGCTCTTGGCCCCACGCCCACCGTCCAGCTCTGCAGCCCTCC